GGAACGGAGTGATGGCAGAGCAAGGAACGGAGTGATGGCAGAGCAAGGAACGGAGTGATGGCAGAGCAAGGAACGGAGTGATGGCAGAGCAAGGAACGGAGTGATGGCAGAGCATGGAACGGAGTGATGGCAGAGCAAGGAACGGAGTGATGGCAGAGCATGGAACAGAGTGATGGCAGAGCAAGGAACAGTGATGGACTTCACAATCCACAGAGCAAGTTAAGATGTTGTGCAGGAGTCTGGCTTGCAGACTGGGGTGCCTCTGGGCACCAAATTCGGGGAAGTGGATTTGCTGACCCACAGAGCTTGGAACATGGGCTGGCCAAAAACTACCTATGCATTCCTTACTACCATTACAACCTGTTAACATACTTAAGAAGCCCCTTTAACCATTAATTTTGTCCGTGATGTCTTATAGCCATCACAATGGGTATAAGAACCTACAGGTAAATTGTAAAATGTTAATTAAAACTATTTACCTCACAATTGGATCAATAGGCAATATCAAAATAATGAAAGAAAAGATTGAAATTGTTGGTGTTTCCTTGCACTCAGATCTACAATCAAGTTCATGGAAGCAGCAGTCAAGAAATCAAAAGATGTATTGAATTGGGCAAATCTGCAGCATAAGACCTTTTAAATGTTAGTGACGAACATTGCAAGAATCTTGGACCGCCAAAGGAAAAAGCAAGTCTGTCTGGGAGAAGTACAGACAGAATGCTCTTTAGAAATGAGGATCTATTCTGAGACCAGAGAAACTAGATGATACCTGGTTACCACTGCTGGCTGTTATGATTTGGGCCAAAATATATGAATTCTTAGAGAGTGAGATGGAAATGTGGGGCAGAACTCAATTACTGGGCCAGTTGAGACTAAAGGACTCACTGAGGCTTCATCCTGAGATATTCTTTAAATGTTAAATCAAAGTATCCCTTGAGGTTAAATTAATTAACAGACCCAGACCCACTCATAAAATATAGAATATCAACCACGAGTATGAGCTCCTTTAAAAAATCAACTGCATGGAACTAATTGATCAAAAGTTACTCTAAAACAAAGAGAAGAAAGTAAGGGGCAGGAAATTAATTGTACAATCAGAAAGGAATGAATACGAATGGTGACATACTATGAAAATGTAACCAGTATCATTTGCATAGAAATCATAAAGTGAAAATGTAATTTGCTGTGCAAACTTTTACCTTAACCACAATAAAATAGAAAAAAGAAAGAAAGCTGGCTTATATATAATAAACAAATTAGAAGTCAAAGACAAGCATTTCATAGATAAAGAACAAATTGCTAGACAAATGAATTCTAAATGCCAGTGTCACTCGTAATATTCCTGTTAAGCTGAGATTGCTTGAGAACATTTCCTTTGCTGTGTACTATAGGCAAGAAGTGGCCAATGGGTGATCTGAAATCTCGATTTCACCTACAGATTTGGCTTATATGAGCCGCATGTCCATACCTACTCTGTTCTTTTGTTTTGTTTGAGCTATTTAACAACACTCAAATTTGGAGAATGTGTATAAAAATCTACATTTATTCCTTCACATGAAAATTTTGCATATTTGGCATACTAAGTCTCATATTTGTGTACTTTCCAGACTGCTACCATGTCCACGACTACATATTGAGTGTTTTGGTGTTTTTGTTCTTGTTCTTATTTTAGTTTTCTGCCCCTGAATCAGTATCATTTTAATGGTACATTTAACAGGAAATGGAAATAAATATTTCTTGTGCATGTGTATTAAAATCAGGGAAATGAAATCAGGAATTGTCTTCCAAAACCCAGACCACTGCCTTTGAGTCTATTATATGAAAACAGATCACCTCATCTTTCTTCTTCAGAGCAGCTGGTAGTTTTGAACTGTTAAACTTGTGGTTAGCAACCCAATGCCTAATGACAGTGCCGTGAGAGCTTCTGACCTCAAATCAGGGCGCAGGGTAGCAATGATGAAACATATAACTTCCCTTTAGTTCTTAAATGCTTCCTACCCCACCCACCCACCCACTATTATCATGATCCCAATTCTACCTTACAAATCTGGCTAGACCAGAGGATGTACATTGGTACAGATAGCAACTGGAAACACAGGGAATCCATTACAGATTACTCCTTCAGGACCAGTGGTGAAAGGGGCGAGGCCTGGAGGGTGAGGAATGTGGGGTGGAAAGGGGGAACCGATTACAAGAATCTAGGTATTGCCTCCTCCCTGGGGGAGGGACAGCAGAGAAGAGGGGGGCAGACATCAGACAGTGTAACTTATGACAAAACTATAATAAGTTGTGAATTATGAAGGGTTCATGAGGGAGGGGGCGTGGGGCGGGAGGGGGAAAATGAGCAACTGATATTAAGGTCTGAGGTGGAGGGCATATGTTTTCAGAATGATGAGGGCAGCGAATGTACATATGTGCTTGACACAATGGATGAATGTATGGATTGTGATAAGAGTTGTAAGAGCCCCCAATAAAATAATTTTTTTAAATGCAATTCAACCCTGTCTGTCTCAAATTAGTTAATCAAGCTGCTGTCTATCTGATGTGTAGAGTCTGACTATTTGCATAACCACCACTTGACGTGGGCAGTTTTGACTTTGAGTGCCTGAGAAGCAAATAACAGTAAGAAATGTTAAATAGAGTAAAGTTAAAGACTAGATTACAACATTTATAAGTGCCATAAAAAATTTTCAGACAACAAAATCAATGTTGTCTTAAAGTTTGGGAAGTTTGTTGAGATGTGTATTGAGAGATATTTTTAAGTGAGTATAACAGATAAATATCATTTATGTGTATGCTATCTATGATTCTTAAAAATATATTACTTTACACAAAAGGAAAAAGGAAGATATCACTAATACTAGTAATATTAACTATATTACCATGGCAATGTCATGAAGAGAGAACTTGATAAAGAAACAACAGCGCAGAAGGTCGTTACTTCGGTTCTTTATTTAAATGATTATCTGTGATTTCATTTGATAATACCGAATAATACTCTTTAGAGAACAGGGACATTAGAATAATATATAAAGGCTACATTATCACTTGAAGACAGGATAATTGAAATATAAAATGTGTTGCTATGTCATGAATAATATATTGATAAAATGGAAATAGAAATTTTTCTTAGACATTATTATCAAATGCTAACCCTTTAACATGCATGTGTTGTTAGGTAGGAACAGGCAGGGACCGGGGGTTGTCCCTCTCCATGCATGAAGGCCCACTGCAGGAGATTGGAAGGGAACCAGGTGAGCACTCAGCCAGCCACAAGACTACAGGGCATGCGCCAATTCAAGCCCCAGCCAGGTGGGCTTAATTCAGCCAATGGGATCACCCAAAACCTTTGACGTACTTGGACCGAGGGACTGCCTGGCCCTTTGTTTCTTCCTCCCCCTCCTGCTCTGCTGGGTAGGCGTCTCCGACCTCAGGCTCCCACGTGTGGGTGTGTCCTCCCACAAGGTTGCCTGTGTTCAGAGACTGTAAAACTTGAAACTTCTTCCGTCCTTTATGAAAACCTACTTGGATTGCAAACCGGGCTTCAGCCTGAATTCTTTCTTGTGCGAAGCCAAGAACCAAAGTATTTCCCACCCGAGAAATGTGTGTGTGTGTGTGTGTGTGTGTGTGTGTGTGTGTGTGTGTGTGTGTGTGCAAATTATTTCAAAATGTTTCTACAACCAAGAAAATTTAACCCATAAATTGTGATTGTGGAAAAATCGTTAATAGGCCCTACTTGCAAGCCCCATACTGTATTATGGATGAACTTGATATACAATCAATAGAACTCCGTGATAAAAAAGAAGCAGATTATTGATCTTCACTGTAAAACTGTAAATCGTGAGGATTAGGTGAATTTTCTTATTTTTATCAAGGAAAATTATGTGAAATATGAAAATGGTATTTCGTTTGCTTGGTTTCGATTGGTTCTAGGAGGTGTGTGTGTGTGTGTGTGTGTGTGTGATTTGCAGGATGAGAAAGAGCCTCCTGCAAATAAGCTCAGCGGCCAAGGTTTTCTCCGTCCCTTCCGGCGTTGTCTATCTTCAGAACAAATCACTACCCCCGACTGAGACCTAGTGTTTGTTAGCAGGAGCAAAAAGATACAATTCTGAGCTAACCACCCCCCTCCCTAGCACATCACGGGGCACGCTACAGTGGAGTGTTTGTTATCAGAGTTAAAAGAGAAAAATTAGTTACGTAGGTTGAGAGTATAAAATAACTGAGGAGAACATTTCTCAGTCTCTTCAGCTCTGGCCGCCGTGGGCACGCACAGAACAAGCTCACCGTGCCCTTCAGTGGACTTACCTTACCAGCAGGAGCCCGCAGAAGGTAGGGTCCCCTTTCAACTCCTCAAGGTAGGGAACGCAGGTAAGAGTTATCGTCTTTAACCACACACCTGTTGTGAGGGGGGACTGGTCATAATGAAACTGCCGGCTGCGTACTGTCTGGTTCTTGTGGTGAAAGCTCATTTCTATGCGGAGCCTTGGCGGCACACTTAGTTACGAGTTGGGCTGCTCACGACAAAGTCAGTAGTTCAAGACCAGCGGGATGAAGAGAAAGCTTTCTGCAGGAGAAAGAGGAGGGATGCTTTCTGATCCTGAAAAGGTTTTCAGTCTCAGAAACCCAAATGGGCAGGTCCACGGAATGAACTCAAATGCCTAGAATTGAAGTGTGCTCGGGTTTGGGGCCAGAAAAATGTGATGTTGACGGAGCTCTGCATATTGAGTATGGTGTCCTTTGTCTAATGGCACCTGGCTACCCGGAAGTTGGATGCTAACTATAAGCGTACTCATACTGGCAGTGTTGTGTTACCTTTTATGGCAGGATTGAGTAAGAAGTCTTTTCTGAATACACACACACACACACACACACACACACACACACACACACAAGGCCAACATTTCAAAATGTTTGCAGAAAAGGAGAATGAAAAGATGACATTTTCCCATGAACTTTTTGAAATGTGTATGTGTGTGTGTGTGTGTATTACAGACACCATCTTGTAAAATGATAAGTGTGTGCTGTTTAAAACTCTTATAAATGAACTATAGCAGTAGTAATTGTTTTTCTCTGGGTCAACTGAAAGGCAGGCCGTGAATGAATCAATACATGATGAGACTTGTATACAATTTATCTCTTTGTGGGGGTCACACACAAAAAATCCTAGTGCATAATTAGATTATCCATGCCTAGCCAAAAGAATTGAGTAATAGAACTTGTTGCCTGATAAAAGGAAGGAATGAAATAATTACAAGGCAGAATAGCAAAATACAGGGATAGTTAGTTAAGGGAATTGTAACTCTTTATATAATTAGACTTTTGGTAATATAAACATTTATATATAGGTAGCGGGTATCATGAACATAGACCAAGTCCAGAAACACACAAATAAAATTAAACAGTTCTTACTCTGACTAGAGCAATTAGGAAGCAAAGTTCAAGCAGTCTCAACATTATGAGTCAGATCTAATTCCTAAGTGTGTCTGCAATTCTAAGTAAGTCTTCACAACAAATCTGTAGGTAGATCAAATATGGTTCTCATTTACCCTTACTTTAGTGCAAGAATGGGAGCCCTGGGGGTGTAGTTCTTACATATTGGGCCTGCTAATCTCAAGGTCAACAGTTCAAAACCGCTAGCTGCTCCACGGAAGAAAGAGGAGGCTTTCTACTCCCATAAAGCATTACCGACTCTGAAACCCACAGGGGCAGTTCTACACTAACCAATAGGGTTGTTATGGCAGCATCAACTCGATGACAGGGAGTTTAGTGCAAGAAGGAAGCCCAAGTGGCACTCTCAGGTGAGCATTGAACTGATAACCACAAGATCAGTCATTCAAACCTACCAGGCACTCTTCAGGACAAAGATGGGGCTCTCTGCTTCTCTAAAGATTTGCATGCAGCATTGTGAGGGAAATTCCACTCACTGTCCGGTCGTTGTGAGTCCATTGTGAGTGAAATTCCACTCACTGGCAGAAGATGGCGCTAATGCAAGAAGCTGGAGGAAGACGAGGCTGTCTGCTCCTGTAGAGAGCATAGGCTCAGAGACCCTGAAGAACAGTTCTCTACTCTGTTCTAAAGAATAGTTCTCTACTCAGTGGTAGAGGGGGTTAGTGCAAGAAACAGGTCACAGCCTGTTCAAAGGCAAGTACAAGTTGTCCATAAGTTGAACGTTTGCTGCTCGGGGGCTTCCAGCATTCTTAATTCTTTGCCATATACATTTGGGGTTGACTTATCATTTAAAACAGATTATTTTTATACTTTACAAATTTTTAATGGTTTTAGGGCTTCTGGTTTCCAGTGTGACATCTAAAAATCTTCACTTCTATCGTATCAAAAAATAAACTGAAATTAAAAATTAACACTTCTTGGGTTCATCAGAGAATTTAAATCACTAGCAAACCACTACCCAGAAACTGGAAAGAGGAACAGATACCAAAAATCACATATTACTGGGGTCAGAAACCCAGGAAAACAGAAGTGCTCCCCTGGTGTCAGTCACTGGCAGCACTTTGAGGTGGATTATTCAAAAAGCCAGGGAAGCACAGGCTTACTCAGTAGCTGTAGTGAACAATATTGTATAGTTTCAAACACGGGAAACTGTTCACTACAGTTCAGTAAGAACAAGCCTAACCCGACACTGGTAACTCATAGTCTATTTCCACTCGAGTGATCCTGCAGGGCAGAGTAGAACTGCCCCTGTGAGCTGCAAAGACAATCCATCTTTCCAGGAGTAGAAAGCCTCGTCTTTCTCACAGAGCAGTTGGTAGCTTCAAACTGCTGACATTGTGATTAGCAGCCCAACAAGTAACAACTATCTATCGACAGCCACTTAGCTAGCAGGACTTCTTCAACATTGGTAGGACTGCTTACACTGTAATTGATGAAGCCAGTTCTATTTTGAGTGATGTGAGAGTTAAGAAATTAAAGGCCTTGTCTGGGTGGGGTCTCCATGCTTTCATAAGGGTCCCCCCACCCCCCGTGAGAAGTCCCTTCAGGTTCTCAGGTAGAGATGGGGGGCGGGAGAACCCTCCTGTTTCTGAGAGGTAGATGAATAACCATTTGGAAATACTCAAAAGAATATGCTGTTCTCCTAAAGACTGCCCTCAAAATTAATTATTTTACCTCATCAAGGTGGAATTTACCAGAGCTTCACAGATCTGTGGGGAGGGAAACACAGGAATCCAGTCCCCTCGACTGAGGCACATCACATTCAAACTGCAGAATTTAAAAACAAAGAGAGCATCGGGAAAGAATATAGATAAAAGATAGAGGGGGGAACATCTTACCTATAGCGCATTAAGGATAAAAATAATTTTGAACTTCCTTCCAGAAACCATTCAAGGAAAAAAAGAATAGAATAAAATCTTTAAAGTGTTGAAAGAAAAAAGAAAAGCACCAAATTGGAATTTTGTGCCCTGCAAAATTACCCTTCCCAAATTAAGGAGAAGAGAGAAAAGGAATGGAAGAAAAAAAATAGGGGGAGATAATGAATGTAAATTATTATAAATATTGTGGATATTAAACCAACTATATCAGTAACTCTTTTACATATGACTAGTATAATTACACCAATTAAAAAGCAGACAGTGTGGATCAAAAAAGAAAAAAGACTCAACAATGTATTTACTTCAAGGTACCTACTTAAAATATAAAGACACAGATAGAGTAAAAGCAAAGGAACGGAGAAAATTACACCATGATAGCACTGACCAAAATCAGCTGGGGTTCCTATAGTAATTGCAGACAGAGTTCAGAACAAAGAAAATTGTTAGGGATAATCCTTAATAATCATCCAATTGTTAGGTAACAATTGTGCAATTGTTACAATTGTACAATTCTGCTTGATGTGATTGATCTATGGAATGATATCATATGTGTATTAACCCCCAATTAATAAAAAATTGGCCAACATAATGATGTAGAATATAGCTTACTTATGATAGCAATATGCACCAAACTATAGTTTGCTGGGATTGGTGAGCACTTGCAGGAATGAGGGGTAAAATAATTTTCTTCCACCTTCTTATTGAGATATATTGACTGTGGTTTAGGTCAAATACAATGAGGTTTCTCGAGATACTAAAGAAGTCCCCATTTTTTACCAGTGGTACTGAGTGTTCATTTGTCCTCAATCATACCTCATTTCCCAAACAGTTCTTTCTGTGCCTGAAGTAGCACCAAACATGTGTCACAAAAATGTGCCCGTCTCAATTGGCACCTTGTTTGAATGAGGTCCAATGATTGGAGATACAGTCAACGTTTTAGATAACACTAAAGTGGTAAAGTCAACATTTTATGAAACACTAAACCGGTAAACATTTAGTGTTACTAAACTGGTGACACTAAACCATATTAGAGATATGGTCAGCATTTTATATAACGCTAAACTGGTGAAAGCAGAGGTCAAACTAATAATCTGGCACTTTGCATCTATAATCGGAAATGTCCCAAAACCAAAACAAAGAAAGGATGCCCTGCCACCAAGCTGATTCTGACTCTCAGAGACCCGACTGAGGTCTTCTCTCTCTTCAGAAGGGGACCGTCATCTCTCTTCAATGGATTGGCAGCTGGAAGTGAACTGTTGATTTCAATCACTTTACACCCACCCCTAAAAGTCTTCCTGGTCTCAGACCTACTGTCAGCAAGTCAGCACAGTCAATGTCGGGATACACAACCACAAAGGGGAGAACCAGACACTGCATGGAATTATAAGGCCCATCTGCTGTCACCTATGAAACTCACAACTTTAACACCGATCCTTACAAATTATAATGGGCTTTAAGCACATTTTCTTCTGCCCTAAACCAAAGCATGAGTGGTATTTCTAGAATGATTGCTTCAACCCTGTGGTTATGACCATCTGCACGTGTACTAGCTTGCTACCATATTCTACTAGGCACCACCTAAGATTATCTCCATTGTTGGCTCACTTTTCTAGCTTCGAGTTTGCTTTCCTTTTGAGCTAACAAATAGAAACACTTTCCGTCCCTGGTTCATTGGATTGTATCTATTGACCCCTCCAAGCCTGGAACTAAGGCCAGGCATCCATTTTCAGCCAAACAATAGACAGCCTGATGAAGTGAATAGCACTGCGTAGGAATGTACTCTTGGTGCAATCGACCATACGATGAAAGGGGCAGCCTTTGCCCCGGAAGAAAACTCTGAAGGAAAGAAGGGGCAGAAATGACGAGCAAGTGGAAAATGGGGACTCGGCACTTACAGCAAGGCCTTTCAACTAATGTCACAGGCAAAATGTGTAGACAGTTTGTAATGGAAGACTATTTTGCTCTGAAAACTTTCACTTAAGTTACAATAAAAGCATTCTTTAG